ACAGTCCTTAACAGAAGACAATACTTGGGAGAATACTCTGACCCTTTTGCAAAAGGAAATGCTTTGAGTTGCCAGTGTCAACAAAATGTGAATCTTTGCAAGCTCCCATTTCAGCTAGTATAATAAACAATCTGATCCAAATAAAATATCTATAAAGAGGTTTGGGGTTCAGAAGTCTAGGTGTTGTTAAAAACTTACAATAAATTGCTGATTACAAATATTGAGCCTTCGTTTCAAGAATCATTCATATAAAACTAGATACATAACATATGGTTTACCATTACTTATATACTTGAAAATTGAGTAACAATTCTATATTAAACATGTGTTAGATTGTAGCACGGTGTGAACATTTTTGATGCAGTAATGTAAAAACCATTCCCCGATCGTCTTTGTGCATACCAGGGGACAGGCATCGAATTTGTGTTGTCACTGTTAATAAAATAGATCTGTTCATAAAAAAAAAATAACTCAGACCCAGAATCAGGCACTGCATTATAGATACAGAATTTGCATAAGAGAGTCGAGTTAAAGGTTCTTACCAGTACAGATAGATCTGTCTATATATAGGCACAGTTAGATGTCTGTTAGCTCATAGCGTTGACTAATTGGTTCTTGATTTGTTCTTACATTTGCCTGTCAATTGTTCATAATTATGTATGGATGTGTGCCTTATGCTTTCTAGCACATGTACTAAGCGACGTGTTATACATTTCACAGGCAAATGAATCCTTTGGCCTATAATATGAGAATTCAAGTGTCACTTATAATATCTTTGGTGTATAGATGAAGAGTCTTGAATAACTAATGTGTCTTAGCAACACATGCCTCTGGCAGTGGTCATAAAATATTCCAGCTGATCTGAAGGAAATAAAAGCTAAAAGAGCAGATGGATGCATGTAAAATTTGAAAACACTCCTCTGAAGTGGACTCAATGTGATTAGAATTTTGAAACTACTCTATGGATTCAAATGAAGAAAATGTATAATACCTCCCTCTGTGCAATTTATAATGGCAGTGTTTGTCAGTAAAATGTATCATAAAGGTTTGATGTCATTAAGGGTATAAACACATAAGCCCATAACTGTGGACATATATATTAGAGTAATCCTATCTCACTAATCCTATCTAAATAATCCTATCGCACTATCCTAGTGCCTACGTCCAGTCTCACCTGAAAATTGCAGAAGTGCATTTCTGTGGAAATTTCTGTCCATATCAAAATAATCCTAGCTCCCTTAAGGACCAGATCTAGCATCCACTGAAGATTTCAGAAGGCCAAGATTGCATACATTTCTCTCCATTTTGGAGTGATCCTTGTCCTCTGGCGAGCAGTTCTCCACTGAAGACTGCAGAAACATATGACTGCCATATCAGTCCATATCAGAATAGTGCTTGCTCCCCTATTGACAAGATATAACTTCCACTCAAGACTATAGAGATATTTTTGTTGTTGCACTTCTCTCCCTCTCATCTTCTTAGTGAATAGAGACAGTTTGGGCTGTTCATTTCCTTTATCAAACCTTATATGTGGTGGCTGCATTTGTTTTCATCTTGCAGTTTTCATTTTTTTTGTTGAATTTGAAGTTTCAGCCCATCATTGCTTTCTCACTGACCAGCTAATTGTATTCCTACCCCACAGGAGCCGCTGGCGATTGGGCCTATTTCCCCTTTTGCAGCACCCACAGACAAACACAAGGTATTTTCCACACTCTTCCACTGGCTCAATAATCAGTCTAGAGTTTTGATTTTTTGTTTTTTTGTGTTTATTTAGGGAATAATGAACTTGGATAGGGATGGAATACCCCAAATTGGAGAAACTTGGACAGGTTGAGGACTGCTACCTTTCTGGCTGCGCTCATCCACTTGTTACAAAAAGTAACAAAAAGAACTTGTACTCCTTCAGCTGTACCTGTACAACTCCCGAATGGGATTGCACCTCTGCTTTTGCTGTACTAGCACACTTCAGTATGTACTTTATTTTAGTAACAAGTCCCTGAAAGAATCTTTATGCTGCCGGTGATCATGTCTTCATTCTCAGAACTAAAGCACTAAACAGTCACTCTTGCAGCATGGGGTTTTGTACTCACCCAGTCACAGGACCTTTGATTCTTAAGCACTTCTACTTTTTTTATTATAATACTCTTGTGGTCCCTCTAGCTGGGAGACCCTCGTTTCCTAGCTTCTGCCCTGGAGGGCAATCCCCCTTTACAGGGGTCTCCTGTTTGGACCCGGCCTGGAAACTAAAGCACTACTTCCTTATACTCAGCATGCTGCAGAATTCTTTTTGCTTCTCAGGCTCAGACTACTTAAGGACTTTTCCCCCACTTGGGTAGGGATGGGGTGGATGTCCCAATAATATTTAAGCTACAACCTCTGCACTCCCTACCCATGTTCTGGAAAAAAACCCAGATAGCTCCAGAACAGAGGAGAAAGTAGCAGAGTAGCAGTCTATGAAACCCTGAGTAGCCCTAACCAATCAACCCCTGCTTCTCTGCCTACAGAGGGGCTAGCTAAAGTTACCTAATACAAACTAGCAAAACAAAGAGGGTGCTGCATAACCTTTGGTATTTACTAAAAAATAACCACATAAAATATACCCTACAAAAATCTGTAACATTTGCATTATTAGATAAGCCATGGCACAAATTAACACCACAGAGGTCACATTACCAGAGAGCAGATGAACTATTTCAAATATATTTCCATAGTTTCCATTTCTCATGCTTTTTCCAACTAATCAAGACACAAATCAAATGTTTTGATTTTATAGAGAGACCAAGTCAGGCCCAACTAATTCTATTATCTCATATAGGAGTTCTCTGTCGGTTGTAGAGGTCCTGGCCTCATGGCACTCATTTTATCCATAGGAAGCTTATTGCTAGTGTAGCAATTCTGTCTAAATGATCATCATTGCTACTGACATTTAATAACACTTAACGTATAAAAACATGGATTTTTGTATGTGAATCAAATAAAGTAAAAAGAAATAACTAAATTAAAAGTGCCCCTAGCTATTATAATATTGCCTAAATAAGTATTTTTCTATAATGTTTTGAATATCTGAATTTTAAAACTTGACAGTAATGTTTATAGTAAAATCAAATTTATCATTGGGCACAGCACCAGTTAATGAAAACATCCATGCTTGTATCATAAAATGTAAAAATTTTAATGAACATTAATACTTTGCACTGAGAGTCCCACTGCATACTGGTGTATAATTAATTACTCAGTATTATTCATTTAGGTGATTCATTTAGGTAATGAATTAAATATTGTTATTGAATTAATTAAAATTCAAATGAATTAACCTTCAAATCCTATTTCCTTGAATCTTAATAACTCACACTTTCTCCATAAAATGTCTACTTTAATAGCCTTCTTAGACAAAAAGGCAAGCTTCTTTAAATTCCTAATGATCTGTTTATTTCCAATTATGTCTTCATTGTCAATTATGCTTATGCATAGTATGGTTATAGAAATAAAGTGGTTAGTCCATGCTATGGTTTAAATAGGCAGCTAGCAAAGTAACAGATTGATATATAAATTCTAAAAGGTCTTACACAGGCCTTTTTTTCTCAGAAAATAGATGCAGGTACTCACCCCTTCTGAGTCACTCCTTGTCTCTGCCCCCTACCCACCTCTGAGCAATGTCTCTTGGTTCCATCCGTACCCATCTCCCAGTACCACCCTTTTTAGAAGATGCAGAACCAAGTATAATTTTGTAATATGTATGGAATTTGTAAATTATAACGACAAAATCAATAAAATAGATTCCCTGCAGCCAGTAACAATTCGGTAGTTCCTCCCAAACAAATAGCCCCTCAGCAAGAATAGATCCACCAGCAACAATAGACCCCTGCCATCAACAATAGATCTCCCAGCAGCCAACATCAATATACCATACTGAAGCCATCAAGAATAGTCCTGTCTCTCAACAGCAGATCTCTCCCAGCAACACTTGACCCCCAGAAATATAGGACCCCCAGCAGCAATAGATCCCCCGCCAGTAACAACTGACCTCTCCAGCAACAGTAGAGACCCCCTCAACAGTAAATCCCCCAACAACAAGAGATCCCCCAGCTGCCAGAATCAATAGACCCTCCAGCACACTTGTCATTATATGCATGCGGTACTAAAGGTGCCAAAACCAAGTTTCCCCCCGGCATTCCCACTGAAAAAAAAGCCCTGGTCTTACAAAGGTAAGTATTTGAAACACTGCCTAAAATTAAAACACTCATAAAGTATAAAGCATAATCACCCATTAAACCACACCTTGGTAGGTGTAAATAATAAAGAGACTAAAACAACCAAAAGATTCATACATCATAATAAAAAATACTAATAGAAAGTTTTGTTCAAGTGCATATATAGAGTCTCAAAAGTTAGATCTCATCCAAGTGTACAAAAAGAACAGTCAGCCACCATCAAATCTGAATTGCCTGCGAGTCTTCCACTGTATCATCATACACCGTCACCCAGTGAAATGGACACCCACCAGCAAAACAGAAAGATCTCTGAAGTTGAAAAGAACACCCTCTGCAGTCTTTGGGTCAGCACTTCCTCTCACACACCTCCTGTATCCAGTAATGGATACCCGCTACTCACCATGCCAAATAAAGCTTTATTTGTTTATACAGATGTCATTGTTGCAACCAGTCTTTATCCACGTCTGTTGTATTATAATAAACTTAGTATACCATGGGCAAGTACAGTGATAAATACTGGAGCCAAACAAAAAAAAGCAGTTCTAGTTGCATTACTCGCCTTTTCTCTGGCTATGTCCCCAATAGTGTTTAGAATATGCCAACATTCCCTGAATGGCACTCTTGTCGAGCAGATGACATCCTGTGTTCACAATGCATCAGGCTGGCCACTCAGCACAGGACCCAGAAGTAAGTGAAGATCACTAGAGTAGTGGTGTCTACGTCAGTGATTTCCAGCTTCCAGGGGCATGACCCAGGTATGGTATACACCCAGGGGTGGACTGACAACTCATGGGGCCCCCAGGTAATAGGGGATCATGGGGCCCCTGTGTCCTTTCCCAAACTCAAAAAAGCCTATGAAAAAGGTAATAGGGGCATCTCATGGGGCCCCCTACTGACCCCGGGCCCTCGGGCAGTGCCCGAGTTTCCAAATGATCAGTCCACCCCTGTATAAACCTATCTGGACCTACAGTATGTAAGTGAAAAATAAAAAAGTGCAAACCTCCTTTAACCACTTGTCCTTGCCCCATTCCTAATCAAACATGCCCCACTGGTGGGGACATGGCTGCAGAATCAAACATTATTAGATATGTGTATCACCTAACCCCAAAATCCCCTCAAAAAGTCACGCCTTCTCCCCAGAAAGCAACACAATATTACAACCTTTTTGAAATTATATAAAACAAATTCAAACAGATGAATATAATCATAAATTACAAAAATTGGAAAAAATCATAAAATTCAAAAATACAAACATAAAAAGTAATTAAAAAAAGTCCAGCATAAAGTGTCCCAAAATGTCCCAATGTAAACACAAATAGTGTCAAACAGAAATGGTGTCCCAAAATTGTCCAAATCTCCAAATTTTATCCAGTCAGAAGAAATTCCCTTTCATCCCGCAATACCTCGAAAAAAACAAATTCAGAAATCTAGTGCATTACCTTTATAAATAATATATATATATATATTCTCTTCGTGCAAAAATAAAAAATAAAAACCAAAAACACAAAAAAAAGTGTGCAAACACTATATATGTGTATTTTTCCGTGCACATGTGAATGAACTGTGACCACTCAGTGAACACTGCAACAGTGTGTATCCACCAGCACCAATAGTATTGGACACTATTACCCTCTGTATCCTTATACCAACATCCACATGAGATCTTCTGAATGCTCCAATGAAATTATTCCAAGGTCCTCAAAAAGACAAGAAGGGTCTCAAGGCTCATATTCAAATATTATATTATATTAAAGTGTCCCAAATATTATATATATATTTGGGACACTTTATGCTGGACTTTTTTTAATTGCAGAATCAAACATCTCAAAAAATTGCTAAACATTTATTTTTCACAGAGCTAAATGTGATTATGGTTAATTAGTAATATTTTCTGTAGTAAAATATGCTTTTGTTGCACTGTGCTCACACACTTGCCATCCAGAGGATTTCCTGACCAGGCCATTTTTTGCGATACGGCTCTGCATTACTTTAACTGACAATTGTGTGGTCATACAACGCTGCATCCAAATTAAGTTTATGTCCTTTTTTCCCCACAAATAGAGTTGTCTTTCGGTGGTATTTGATCGCCTCTGCATTTTTTATTTTTTGCGCTATAAACAAAACGAGACCAACAATTTTGAAAAAAAAAAACAATATTTTTCACATTTTGCTATAAAACATATCCAGTAAAAAAATTAAAAAAATCAAATTTCATCATAAATTCAGGCCAAAATGTATTCTTCTAAATGTCTTTACTAGAAACATGTTTCTATAAATACAGTACTTTAGGCAGTTCACTTCTAGGCCTGTAGAAGGAGTGCGTAGCCTTGCCTCTCTTCTCCTTGGTTGCCGACCTCTCCCCTTGGTGACGTCACGTCCGCCCGCCTTGCTGTTCATGCTGGTCACAGACACTTCCGGTTTCGGTGGTGGTGTCCTGGGACTTCCTACCATCCATCGTGCCGTGGGACCTTCTCTACCATCCACAGTTGCCCCTATTGCAGTCGGACAGATCCCTGCAGGATATGGATGATGGTGGCATACCCATAGATCATCTTTCACTGATGGTTTTTTTTAACCACTTCACTATTGTGAGTTTATATAACTTTTGTGACTTATTAAACTGTTTAATACTGAACTTAGAAGGAACCTCTCCCTTTTTCTTTTCACATATTATCTTTATAGAGTTGGCTTACTCTAGGATGGCTGCCACTTAAGCAGTTATACAGTTATGGACATTATGGACTCATGGACTTTTTAGATATTTACAGGATAAGAGCCACTAGTGCGCTGAGAGAGTTTTATATATTGCTACAACTTTCACGTAAACCAATTAATTTACATGTATTGGTATTTCTTTTAGCAAAGACATGTAGCAGTATACATTTTGGTCTAAATTTATGACCAAATTAAATTTTTTAAATCTCTTTACAGGAAATGTTCTATAGCAAAAGTAAAAAATATTGTTTTTTTTTTTCAAAATTGTCAGTCTTTTGTTTGCTTATAGCGAAAAAAATAAATAAAAAATGCACAGGTGATCAAATTAAAAAAATGTAATTTATGTACAGCGTTGCATGACCGTGCAATTGTCAGTTAAAGTAGCGCAGCGCCGTATCGCAAAAAAATGTGGAACAAAAGCATATTTTACTACAGGAAATCTTACTAATGAACAGGGGCAGACTGACAACTCATGGGGCCCCCGGGCAATAGGGGATCATGGGGCCCCTGTGTCCTTGCCCAAACTCAAAAAAGCCTATGAAATAGGTACCAGGGGCATCTCATGGGGCCCCCTACTGACCTCAGGCCCTCGGACAGTGCCCGTGTTTCCAAATGGTCAGTCCGTCCCTGCTAATGAATCATATTCACATTGAGCTCTGTGAAAAATAAATGTTTTTTGAGATGTTTGATTCTGCAGTCATGTCCCCAACAGTGGGGCATATCTGATTAGGAAGGGGCGGACAGTGCCTGATGTCACACAGAGTGGAGAAATACATTTCCCATCTGTGTGCATTGCTCTCCCTGACATATCAGTTTGCCGGACAGCCTGCAGCCCTCTCTAACTTCCAATCTCCTGCAAGCCGGCAAATGTATCTTCCAGTCCTGGCAGCCCCTCTCCACATCACACACTGCAGAAACCTGCACTGACTCCAGATGACAGTCTGGGCAACCTGAAATCCTTCCCCACCTCTAATCTCCTATGAGCTGACTTCAGCTTCCAGGTCCTGGCAGCTGCTCTTCTCCATCTCACTCTAACTGTATGCTGGATGTTGGGAATCAGTGATGTCAGCTGTCAGCCACCTGCTGATTGGGAATCCTCCTCCCTTTATGTCACTCTCCCATGATGTGTTCTGTCCAGACTGGAGAATGATCACGGCTTCTTACTATGCATTGAGCAGATTAGGAAACTTCTATCCCTTAGTGGCTACTAGCTGCATCCTGACTGGCTATTGGCGGTGGATCACAAACATGTGAGCAGGGTGCACCGTGGTGTGTCTGCAGCAGAAACCACTCAAAAGCTAAGATAATGTGAACTGTGTATTGCGGAAAGTTCCAAAGAGGTACAAATACGCCTGGCAGGTATACACAACTATCAGGAGCCACTTATGGAACCTGTAGCAACTGACATGTTAGGTAGCAATGATGCCGACAAGCAACAAGGAGCAGGAATGTAGCCTGACTGGTCCACACCAAACTGTGAGGCTTCCTAAGGTGGACGATAGCATGGTCCCTGCACTGTCCCTACTCCTCCGGAACCTCTCCCTAACTCTATATACTTTCTTTGACAGAAGCTGTCCCTACACTAGCCACTCACACATGAGGTCAATCAAGGCCCCAGCAAACAAGTGTTTCCAATGATAGCAGGCAGTCATAGAGTAACCAAGCTCCTCACACCTTCCTTCCCCTTCTGCATTTAGAATAATAATAATAATAATAATAATAATAATAATAATAATAAAAAACTTTATTTTATATAGCGCCTTTAAAAGTATCTTTTCAAAGAGCTTTACAAAGAAAACACTAGAAATATGCAGGATAAAACAAAGGAAAAAATGGACAATTAAGTGAAAGCCTGCCTAAAGAAAAACGTTTTTAGATCTGATTTGAATGAGTTTAGAGAAGATGACTCTCTGATGTTCCTTGGAAGTGAATTCCAGAGTTTTGGAACATAGCAGAAGGATCTATCTCCCATCGAGTGTAGGTGAGTAGGGGGGATACACAGAAGGCTGGAATTTGAGGAGCAGAGATTATGAGGGGGGGAGTAAGTTGATAAAAGTGCAGACAGATAATGGGGTGCCAAGCCATGAAGAGCCTTATAGGTGAGCAAGAGGATCTTAAAGTCGATGCGAAACCTGACGGGTAGCCAGTGCAAGGACTCCAGGATAGGAGTAATATGGTCACTTGTACCAGACCTAGTGAGGATTCTGGCTGCAGAATTTTATACAGTACATATTGTAGTCATTTAATAGCAGATTTAGGTACGCCAGCGAGTAGAGCATTGCAATATTCAAGTTGGGAGAACACAAATGTACGGATCAGCTTTTCAGCTACAGTGTATGATGGCACAGGACACAACCGATAAATGTTTCTCAAGTGTAAAAAAGATGGTCTGACAACATTTTGTACATCTGGATCAAAAGTTAAGCTAGCATCAAATATCAACCCCAAATGTTTCCATTTAAACTGAAGCTCAAGTACAATGCCATCGTTAGATAGGCTACCAGGACTGGCCTTGATGGGGGTGCCAATATGCATGACTTCAGTCTTGTCACAGTTTAATTAAACAAAATTATGGGCCATCCAAGTTTTTATATAATAAATACAGTTAGATAGGAGAAATGCAGGCACAGTAGAATCCGGTTTAGTATGGATTTATATCTGAGTGTCATCAGCATACAAGTGAGAATTTAGCCCATGTGATCTAAGCAGTTGGCCAAGTGGAAACATGTAAATGCTAAAAAGTAAGGGGCCCAAGATCCACTAAAGCCTAGCACCACCTACAGAGGAGTACAGACTGCACCTGCCTAGGCACAGAGAAGTAAATTCCCCATTTGTGTGCAGTGCACTTTGGACACTCCTGCTAGGAGCCTCTGTGAATCAACTCTGTAGGGCTGGAACTTGGTATCTCTAAGTATTTGAAGATACAGGGCAATGTATGGCATTCAATATCTTCTAATAGCAGGGCTGGGGGCTGTGTGTTGTGGCACAAAACTGACTACAGTAGATACAGGTACACTGTACATTTGCATGGCATGCTGTATCGCCTAGCAGAAATCTCAGGGACACAAACCAACCATGCCATCATATATCTATGTTCATGCTTGGTGTGATCAATTTGAAACATGAACCACAGGGAACTGACAGGATCACCAGGTATTTAGCAGGAACCTACAAAATAAATAACTTACAGTCTACACTTACTGTCAGGAGCCGCCGCGACACACGGCTCGGTGCAGGCGCAGTGTGCCGTTCACGCTGGTGTACGGGCACTAGGTCCTGGCTGGCCAAGGCAGAGACGGAACCCGTGCATGCACACTCGGATCTGCGGGTGCGCGCCTGGCACCAATGACAGCGCAGGGCGCGGTATTTAAATCCGCCCTGCGCTGACATGAATTGCCGTTTGGTCTCTCTGTGTTCCTGATCCTGTGTACTCGTTATTCTGATTGTTGCTGATCCGGATTGCCCCTGACTGTGCTGTACTCTCCTGCTCTGACCCCTGGCTTGCCTGACCTCCCTCCTGGATGCTCCCTATTGGATCTGATCTTCTGTTGCTGACCTGGCGTATGACCCGACCCTTCTCTGCCCACTGCTTTGTACCGCGCTGCTACCACGGCTACCGACTCGGCTTGTCTGACCACGCTCCTGCTCATCCATCCATCCACCTTGCTCTGGCACATCCGCCTCTTCACATCAGGCTCTCATCCTGCAGATACCTCTGGCAGATCCCTCTACCATGGGTAGGTGTACTCAGGGGCCGAAACCTGGTCTCGGCCTGCTCCAAGTCCATCCCCACCATCAGGGGCCCTGGTGAACAAGCAGACTGGGACTTAGACTCCGCGCTCTGGGGAATCCTAACCGGTGGGTTGCTAGAGGCGCCTCCAGGAGGTTCTTTACACTTACCAACAAGTATGAACATTCCAGAACACACCAGAACCATTACCATTCACTTAAGGAACGTAATGCACAGGAAATAGTAGAGTGAAGAAGGGAAAACCTGTCACAGTGTAGTAATTTTACTTGTAAAAATTATCATCCACCATTGCACTCACATTAGTACATCCTATGCTCTCATATAGACCCGGAAGTGCTACTCCAGCGTGCACTCCATGGGCCAGAAGTGACATCACCAAAAGCCCTGCCCCTGGTGTGTTCTGGAGGCAACAAATGGTCCTGGATAGTGACATATGAGGAGTGCTGGAATAACCATAAGAACCTGGGAGGGGAGATATCTACACGTGTTTTTGACTCTTATGCAAACAGCAGAGGGTCAGAGATCTATAGTGAGTGTTGGAGCACATGATCCAGATCACAGATTGGTCACAAGTGTCACCGTGGATGAATATATTATTGCATCATACTGGTGGACATTTCTTTCATAGACTGTGCACTTATTATAACTGGGAAATGAGAGGTTTCATTCTTTATTGATTTTTGGTTGGTTATGTACATTATGTTATACATGCTGAGAAACTAGACAGGCTGTGAATTATTACCTGTTGTTTACTATGTTATATTTTATTTGATAAAAAGGTTCATAAGTAAGTAGTGAAGAGAGAAGCAGTAGATTGATGAATTCATCTCTCAGTAATTCTACTCTCTCCACCTATGTGCATGCACTTTGTTAGCACATGAGTACTGCAACATGGCTGATTGGCTCCTTGTGCTACTTCTTACTCTGCCAGTCTGAGTTTAGCTGTACAGGAGGTTAGAAGAGACTGATACCAAATCAAATTCAGGTGTTTATGCTGTTAGCATTAAAAAAATACATTAAATGATGTATCAATAAATGCAGAGCTGCCTTAATGTGTGTCTTCTTTTTTTTTTTGACTGAAATTAATATTTAGGGTTATAATTTCAGCAAAACAAGGTAGCATTTATCTAAGAATACCTTTTTCACAATTTAACTGTAAACAGGTGTTACATTTCCAGCATTTTCTAAGCAATTTACATATTACTCAGTTGTTACTCAATGTGATGTATCCTAATTGATAACACAGAGAACAAATTAGATACATAGAAAATGTGATCATTCAGATTTCACTCTGTGCTGGCTCCCTAGATACTGCACGCTTCACAAGCTATCCTCCTACACATCATAAATTGGTCAGTGCAGGTGTAAAGATTAATAACAACATTTTGAGAACAATGACGCAACTTGCCAAATTTCAACTCAGTCCAAAAGGAATTGCAAACAATATGCCAAGTGCTTCTATTTCTCAACATGCAGATGCACAGCTACATATGAAGGATTATGGGTTGGGTTCATCGTTACACACAAACCTTTTATTTAAACTCCTCACAAAGAATACATACTAAATTATTACATTTTTTGTTTGCACACTGTCTGCATTTTGCTGACAGGATATATTTCTCCTTTGATGTGACAGATCTTTATAGCAGGTTAAAAAAAAAAAAAAACGATAGCTGGAAAAATTCTTATATACTTACTCCCTGAGCTATTATCTAATATTGTGCCTGTCAAGCAACTCAGTATGACCTGCAAGTTAAATTCGACAGGTAAAATATTTTACAAAATGATGTGAGTAATTACACCCCTTCTATACATCATTGAAATTTGTATTTTTGTAATACTACTATTACTATTTGTTATATTTTATAACTTATTTCA